TGTATTTTTCTTTCTACTGTGTTGATGAACAAACATCTCCATCTTCTAGATGAAGCCTCCTGAATCTCAGTTTGAAACAAGTAGAAATAAATATTTCTGATTTCTCTCCAGCAGCTGCTGATCAGATCCAAACTCAGAGACCAACTTTGACTCCAGAACCAGAGAGACGAGGAAGGACCTTCATCTTCATCCCACTGGGACTGACAGCAGCTCTGATGGTTCTGATCATGTTGAGGATTTGGTTCAGAAAGAAAAACAGAACAATTCTGGTTACAAAGACTGAATCATTTCCTAGCTGCTCTGCTGTGTAAATCATTAGATTTTACTGAGTGATTGTTTTCTATTAATACTAGTAATTAATCCTTCATTGTCATTAACTCCTCAAAATGAAATCCTCTTCTATCATGTCCATGATGGTGTTGAGGTGTCAGAGTCTCTGGATGAACAGTTTTCAGGACGAGTCCAGAGTGACAAAGACGTCCTCAGAGAAGGACGAATCAGACTCCATGTGTCCAGACTGAGGACTGAAGACTCTGGTCTGTATGCTTGTTCTGTGGAGACTGATGATGGTTCGATGGAACTTGAGGATAAAACATCAAGACAGCAGGAAGAAATGCCCCCATTGGCAGAATGGAGGGATTTTAACTGAGTTTATTTTAACTGGAGACAGTATTTCTACTGGAGTAGATCTATTGACTGCTTTTCTATTATTCTGTATTTTTTCAGTAAAAAACATTGCAAAGTCATTGCAGGCCTTTTCAGATTGGAGTTCATCAGCAACTGTGATTGGAGGGTTTGTTAACCTGTTGACTTTAGCAAAAAAGGTTTGAGCATTGTTAAAGTTTTCGTTGATAATCTCAAAAGAAAGATTTTCTTGCATTTTTCAGTTATAAATTGTTTCTATGAAGTTTCTCTTTCTAGGTTTCATAGTGAACCTGGGGTCCATTCTTTCACCACCTCCGTTCAGCTTTTCAGCACTCCCTCTTCTATTTTTCTGCAGGAGATTTCCACCATAGAAATATATTGTTCCGAGTGAAAGTGTTTACTTTAACTGGAGCAAATTAATCAATGATGTCTGTAACTTTAGAATGGAAATGATCAGGCTCATAACCTGGGTAAAGTTTCCTATTGTACTGTCCACTCCATGGCATCAAACTTAGTTGAAAACACCAATTTCTTTGAAATCTGAATACAAGTTACTTAAAATAAAAAATGCACAAAGGACACACAAAACTAAAAGTAGGAAACATTGAAGAAATGCCTTATTTAGCTAATGTTTTTAGTGTATTATTTTTCTTATTAATAGGTTGCATGATTTACTCTTTAAATAGCAGTTTATCTTGGCTAAAATTCAGATTATTATATTTTTTCAACATTCCATACTATTTCAATCTCACTGTAAATGCTCCCCAACAGCCCTAAATATTTTATCATTTTCTTCGTCCTCATCCCCACTGACACTGTTCAGAAAGGGATTTGCTTCTTCTCACTCAAACCTTTATTTCCTAAAGCTTTTCCTTCTGAGGAAGTGGTGGAGCATTGGACGTAAACATGGGTGACAGAGAGCAATGTAGGTGAGGGGAGTCCGTCTCTAGGGAACCGTCACAGCAGCTGATGCGAAGCTGAGGAGGTCCTCCTTAGAATCCCCAGGACGGTTTAGCTGGGCTTAGCAGTTTATACTATTTATTTTGTTATTACTATTTTTTTTTAGTGTTGATGTGGGAGTGACAGATGTGTCTATCAATCATTGGGCCTCTATGTTTCACTGGTTCTGACAGCAGCAGCAGCTCTGATGGTCAAACTGCTGATTAGTTACTGGTTTAGAAAATATCAGAATGTGTCAAACTTTATTTCAGCAGTTTAACAGAACCTTGAAGGTCCAATAAGCTGCTGGACAGATGGCTTCATGTTGGAGAATATTTTGCTTTCCTTTAAATTAAAGGTGTTACTTTCCTCCATGATTGCATCTAAAGAGGATCATGGTTCCTCTCTGATGTTTCCTGATGATGTTTTAAATCAGTTTAAAACTTTGATGCTGAGCATAAAACACTTTATCTGTATTAGTAATATAGTCTTCCTTGCTGACATGTAAATAAATCCATATTTATCCAGACATGTTT